AAGGAGCCTTACGTATGGGGCGACGAACAACAGGCAGCTTTCACGAAAGTTAAAAGCTGCATGATTTCGGCCCCTATTCTCCAGCCTCCCGATCCCGATGGCGATTTTGTCCTGCAAACTGACGCGAGCGACTCTGGATTGGGGGCGGTCTTGACGCAGACCGTGAAAGGGGAGGAGAGAGTAATTGAATTCGCCAGCCGAGCACTCTCCAAAGCGGAAAGGAATTTCTCAGTGTCGGAGCGAGAGTGTCTTGCGGTAGTTTGGGCCACCGAGAAATTCAGGGCATATTTGGAAGGTTACCATTTCAGGGTGGTCACCGACCATAGTTGCTTGCGGTGGTTACAAAGCATGAAAAACCCGACAAATCGGTTAGCCAGATGGGCGCTAAAGCTACAAGGGTATTCCTTCGAAGTAGAACATCGTAAGGGGGCGCTCCACGTGGTGCCCGACGCCTTATCTAGGATGTTTGAAGAAGAAGAGCCCGGAGCGGCAGTGAGCGCCCTCGTTTGGGCAAATCAAACCACGGACAAATGGTTTATGGATCGCAAGAAGCAAATCATTGAGAGCCCAGAGTCGTGGCCTACGTGGAAGATTGCCGGGGAGAACTTATACTTTTACTCCCCCGAGCGGAACTCGTCTGACGATTTAAGCGAGGACGAAAATTGGAAGCTGGTCGTGCCCAACGAATACCGGAAAAAGGTGCTGAAGGAGTGCCACGATGCCCCAACAGCCGGCCATTTAGGGAGAGAGAAAACACTCGCCCGCGTCCGGCGCTTCTACTTTTGGCCCTCACTACTCAAGGACGTCCGAAATTATGTACGAGTCTGTCAGATTTGCCAGCAATGTAAGGTAGAGCAGCGTCCCCCATACGGGTATATGGGGCGTCGCTCGATAAGCCGCCCGTGGCAAGTTGTGGCGGGCGATATATCCGGACCGCTACCCAGGACAGCACGCGGATATTCGTATATGCTTGTCTTCGTGGATCTCTTTACGCGTTGGGTGGAGTGCGTGCCGATCCGGAAAGCCAACGCTAAGACGATAGCGAAGGAGTTCCACGAGAAGATACTGACGCATTTCGGCACGCCGGAGATGTTCCTGTCGGACAATGGAACAGAATTCAAAAATCGACACTTCGACGAATACCTCTCAGAGCAGGGTATCCTCCACGAGCTGACGCCCGTTTACTGTCCCAGGGCGAACCCCACAGAGCGATATAATCGTACCCTCAAGACAATGATAAAGTCGTATCTCGAAGGGCGACACAACGAGTGGGACATGAAACTCAATGATTTGGTATTCGCATGAAATACAGCGAGACACAGCACTACGAAAGTGAGCCCAGCGATGTTGAACTACGGGCGGCAGCCAATCCCACCAAGTACGTGGCGCCGTGCTCAAGATGCTCTCGTTAGTGGAAAGGACGACGAGAGAGAGCGGCAGGACTGGGCAGACCGCATGGGAGGTCTAACCACGCTATTTCAGGAAGCGGCAAACAGATCGGAAATAGAGCAAGGGCGGCAGGCGAGCCTTTTCGATCGGAAGCGTCGCCCCGCTCCCTTTAAAGTTGGAGATTGGGTTTGGCGAGTGAACCGCGTCCTATCTTCAACCGACAGTGGAGTCACGGCGAAATTGGCGCCGACATTCGCGGGGCCGTATACCGTGAGAGAGAAACTCGGCCCCAATACATATCACCTGGCGAATCATCTGGAGGACCTCGTCGGAGTGGTCCATGCCGAAGACTTGAAGCCCTTCTACCAGGGGGGGGGGGAAGATGAAGAGGACGAACATACCCAACCGCCGAAGGGAAGCGAGGCGATGCGCGACACGCGCCAGGAAGATAATCGGTCACCGCAAGACGTAAGCGCGAGTCCAGGTGAAGAACCACCGCCCGAAAATGAGGGCGAAAACGCATCGGACGAAGACCTGGGAGATCAAAACCCCGTCAGACCGGTTAAGAGGGGGCGAGGCCGTCCGCGGAAAATCCCCGCCCCAACTCTCGAATTACCGTTAGAAAGGCGTCCCCGAGGCCGACCACGGAAAAGCGTAAAAGTGGTCCGCCGGACGAGCGTGCGAATTAGAGCAAGGCGAGTGGGCGAATCGACCCATTAAATTATCTGAATCTCATCTTTTTCCTTCAGCCTGATGGGCTCCCTATCCTACCTTCATCAAAACCACATAACTCCTTTACAGGATGGAAAGCGCCCTTCACGAGGCCGTGGAATGGCTCGTCGAGCACGTGGAGCGTCTACAGCTCGAACCCGAGAAGAGGGCCGTTTTCATCGCGGCCCGTAGGCGTTTTCGCGATGCCCTGCGGCGCGCCTCGTACATCGAAGACGACAAGAAACGAGCTTCGGAACTGTTGGAAGCCGCGAACCTGCTGGCCGACGCCCTGTGGGCATCCAAATTAGGACGGACGCTCCAGCATTTGTTGGACGGGGCGAAGGCCCGCTTCGCCCTGGGGTTGCAGCGCGCGCGGAAGGAACCAGATCTTCCGGCGTACCTGCGGAAAATAGGGCCGGAGGCAACTATCCACGAGGCCCGTGGGGCCGCGGAGGGATTACCCATAAATACCGCGGGGCGGCCCGGGCTATGCCCGCCGCCCAAGAACGATCTCCATAAGGAATTGTTCTTGCGATATATCCCGATGGGGACCTCTAAACCAAGGCCCAGGCCCCGCGTCGTGGAGTTAATAGACCTCGTGGATGACGAGGAAGAAGGAGTCACCTCCTCTCCCAGGCCACCCGGGAAGAAGGAGGCACCGCTGGAAACCACCCCCTCCGAACGAGGCCGATCCGTCTCTGGAGGGGAAGCCCCGCGGTCGGAAGCGCCGCGGCTCGCCGAGCCACCCATGGACAACAGAAGGAGCGAGCGCGCGGCACCAGAAGGTCCGGATCGCACACCCGCTTCCACCCAGAAGGAGGGCGAAACCCCCAGCGTCGTCGGGGACACAGAACCGTTATCCGAGATCGGGAAACCCGCCCACGCAGCCCGGCGGAGCCACAGAACGCCGACGCCTGACCGCCCCTTCGACGAAGAGGATTGGCCCACTTCGCCCCTGTCTTGGAGCGAGGCGACGTCGCCGGAGGAACGGTGGCAGGTGATGGAGAGGGGCCTCCGGGAACTGGAGAACGCCTGGAAGTTTATTAGCCACTTACACTCGCGGGTGATGGCGAAACTCCAGGCGTACAACAACCTACCGGGGACCCTCCCCTCCGTCGAGATCTGGATGGACCGGGTGTTGAGGTGGCAGGCCTATCGCGACGCCATCGTAAACATCCGGCGAACCCAGAAATTCGCAGGGCAGACGCCTTGGAGGACGCCCGAGCATCCGGCCTCAGCCACCAAGGCGCCAGGGCGAAGTCGGAACCCTTCGCCCTACAGAATAAGTGTAGATGCGTCCGCGTCGGGCCTTGGGTCCGTCAACATCACCATCAACCTGGAGGGCGGACGATCTGGGGAGCGGGCGAGGGAAAAATCGCGTCCTCGCCCTGATCAAACTCCCCAGACGCAAGGTCGGGCACATCTGAGGCAGCCCAACCCCAATATCGTCGACCCCTTAGGGGTGCGCGACGGGAAGTCTCGGAAGGACGATCAGGGCTGTTACGTCTGCGGGCATCCTGGAGTAGACAAGTCCAGCCGATGCCCACGAATAGAAGAGCACGGGGCCGCCCGACGAGACAGGAGGAAGAGAAGGAGAACCGGACCCGAAGAGCAAGAAAATAGAACATACGACGGCGGATAAAACCAAAAAAAAGTAATAAATAAGTTGAAACAAGAAAGAGTTAAGTTCAAAGTCTATTTCCCCTGGTCACTTCAATCCCACCAAAAATCCCTGTCCGTCCACCTACCACTCATCATATCATCAGGGCGCTTGGACACGGATCGTCGCCGAAGCCGACCCCGCATCGGACGACTAGGGGGAGGCTGTAACGAGTGTTGCTCGTTAAAGGTGTGACCTAAGCGCCCCTATCGCATGGAGCTACGTAAAAGCCGATCCGCAGAAAAGAACACGAGTTAGACGCGCGTACCGCGAGGCATTAGGGATAATAGGAAGGGGAAGGAGAGCGATCAGGCCGCCGGGCGGCGTGCGCGCGACAACGGAAGAGGGAAGAGGTACAGTCAGTCAAGTCCGGACCTGCGGATAGCGAGAACGCAAATAACAAGTATTTGAGTTAGTGAAGCTCGAGGGGCAACCTGACAAATATCGTGAGAAGACCCAGTAACCTCGAGGTCGCCTAGTAATCGCCTCTCAGATAAAGGTCGTCCGCTGCCCATTATCAGTTGCCCGGAGCGATCCGAGGCAGCAGTCAAGGGTCGCGGACAACTGTAATTTCGGGCAGCGGGAGCCCCAACTGAGAGGCCCCTCACCGAGAAGCGGTAGGAGCTAACAAGGCCAGTACATACCGCCAGAGCCACTCAATCTTCAGCGACTCGTCCTCGTAGCGTAAGTCATCGACTTTAAATGTAAATGCGTCCGGGCGCCAAGTGCGATTAGATAGTGCGCTGTCTTTCTCTCTCTCGCCGCGTGCGCGGGAAACTCGACAAAACCTCTCGGCCGCGGTATTACAATTGTAAGCTTGAAGTGACAGACGTAAATAAAAATACCGATTCTTTCGATAATCGACCGGGAGTTCTTTCTTTCAAATCCCCTTGGTTGTTCTCTCTTGACGTCCACGACAGAACCTGCCCGACCACGAGTCACTGGGCAACCCGGATTTCCGCACGTGTCTTGCACGTGTAGGTTTTCACGGGCTCTGGGGCGGAACGTCTAAAGATCGACGCCGTTCGAACGAGTTGGTCGAGGCGGCGGTCAGCCTCGCGACGCTGGGAACAACCATTCCTTAACGGGTAAGAATTCTGTTCGCTCCCAGAACGAAATCCCCCGTTACAAACTATAACAATTATAATAACGAATACTTGTGAAATTATTCCACAAGATTCTACATTTAAAAATTTGTAAACTAATTTATATTTAAAAATATAATACCATAATATTTTACCTTTAGGAGTTCGAGTATCCGGTAGCGTTAGCCATAAAGGGATCAAAATTGGAGCAACAAGAATGTAAGTTATTCTTTTTCTGGGTGTATTAGGCCAAGTCATATCAAGTGCTTCTTGGGGGTCTTCATCGTCTCCCTAAAAATAAGTTGAAAAGTCTTATGACGTTATATTATTATTTTAAAATTTTAATACCGGTGTTCAAAGTTTCAATAAGTTTCTCATTGTGCTGATAAGCTGTATTCGTAATCTTAAAAAATAATTCAAGTGACCAAGCAATAGGGTATCAGTTAAAATAGTCCTATCACGTCATACACATCAAGTAAAAATACTCATTTTTTGATGTATTGAAATATATAATATTATTGATTAAATTAATTTATATTATGAAATACAATGTATTCCAAACGTCTCGTGACAGCAGAATAATTCTTAAGGTACATTATTTTTTGAAGAGGTTAAGCTGTAAAGTTTACTAATTTTTATTTTGACCTTGCTTTTGGTATTAAGGTTGGAAGTGATTCAAGATTAATTTTTTTTCTAATGGAAATCTCCTTTTTTAATCAAGGCAATAACAAGAACGGATATTTTTACAACCCAGTACTTATTAAAATCTAAGGTCAAGATGCTCTCTACAGGTCAAATTAAGGCAAAATATGTACGATAAATAAATCCCTGAAAATCATACAAGATTACTTGTCGAAAAAATGCTCAAGGTTAGTGCATTATCAATTTTTGAATAGAAATTCAATTGTGATTTTTCCTTAGACCTTGAACCTCACCTTAACCATCATTTCAAAGTAAAATATTTTTCAACTGATAAACATTTTAATACCAGTGAAGAATAGTACGTATTCAAGTCCAAGGACAAAGTAATCTGTAGAAGTGAATGAAGGTCATTAAGTGCAAAACCTGTAGTATAACATCAATAACAATATTGTACAAAGGATCAGCTATTCGATGTGCTAGATAATTCAAAATATCGGTTAAAATTGATTTTTTACTGAAATCTATACATTGACAGCCGCCATATTGTTTCCGCCATTTTTGTTTTAACTATAAATGATATTCTGGAAAAAAATTTAGAACAAAAAATCACGAATAAAAGAAAATTAATGCAAATATTTTTATTTTTTTTCAAATTTTTTATTTTTTAGCCATCATTTTGAATCCGACATTTTGTAAATTACTAACTTTAGCATTATAAGTTCAGACTAACATTACTTATTGAAATTATGACAAAAATAATAATTTTTTCAGCAATGAATAAAATATTTTAAAAAAATCTGCATTTTAAGTTTTTTCACTAATTTGCCGCCATTATAAAGTAGCCATTTTGAATTTTAAAATTTCCTCAGAAGTGGATTTGAAAGTTCAAATATCAAGTGCTCTGATTAGATACTTTTTTTAAAAGACCTTCATAGTTTAGAGGTGAAAAACTGATTTGAAAAAAAAAATACCATAAATTTTGGGCATTTTTTGGAAAAAAACGCAGCCATATTTAATTTTTCTGAAAAGGAAGGTTAATTCTGAGGTCAGATTCTGATAGAACAAACTCATAATCATAAGATATGAGGGATCGGCAAATATTTTAGGATTTTTTGTACCTTTTTAACAACTCGAAGTATATGCAAAATTTCAGTGCATTTGATCGTTAATGGGTTAATATTTTTATTTTTTAAACGTAAATTCATTTCAAATATCATATTTTTTTTAGTCTTCGGAAATTATTAAAAAACCTTTAATAGTATGAATAATTCGATACTGATTTGTGATATTTCGGTTATGAGTAGTGTAATACAAACCATATCAAACTTTTCAACTCTCTAAACTTTTATCTACAATGACTTACACTGAATAACTTTCAGAAAATGATAGTAATGAGATAAATTCCGCAAGCGATTTTCTGAATACCTCTTTCTGACAATAGATTCGTAATCAATAAATGAATAAATATTGGTTTACAATAGATAGAAAATTACAAGTAGAATAATAATTATCGATTTCATTTTAGGAGCTGGCTATGCTCACTACAATGCCACAGTAACCTAGAAAAATTCATACATTATTTTAAATATAATTTCTTTATTTTATACCTGTTCTTAGCGCATTCCAGGACCAATGATGAGGACGTAACGGGAAACTGATCCTATTGTGTAAGTGTTTGTGCATATTTAAAAAAACTTTTCTTAATTTTTTTTATTTTTTAAAATTAGTTTTTCATTTTTTGTGTATATTTGTATGTGAAGTATTCGAATATGATCCATGTGATGACGTGTATGAATGAGATAGTATAGATATGTGTTTCTAAGAAAACATTATTTGTGTTCATAAATAATTGAAAATATGTATAACTTTGATTAGAACAAATTTAGGTGTGATCTGCATAATATATATGAACGAGAGTATTTATATGTATTAAAATCTATACGCTTATAAGCGTATAGATAATCTACTTTGCGCTATGCTCTTCTAATAAGCTTACATTTGAATTATCTCAGTATCATTCAGCTTCAGTTTCGCTATCATTTTGCTCTTATGGATCATTATTGATGTATTACAAATATTAGAGTTAGATATTTGAAAACCATTATATTGTCCGTATCCAAGAATCCATATAACTTTACCCATATGACTTTATCGTCATAATATGACTACAACATCTAACAGTTCTAGTCCATGCACAATAATATTGTATAACTGAGTCTACTATGTTTGGATTTGTCCATTAACCCATTAATGCCCACGCCGAATCTGGTAGAGATAGCCTTGAAATAATTATTGGGTTCATGTTATAGCTCAAAAATAATTTACACGTGTTTCTTCTTTTTGCATTTCCAATTGTTTATAAAAAGTTATTTAAACAAATTGACAAAAGTTTTAGTTTTTTGAAAAACTATTTACGGCAATCGATTCTACTGGAAAAACCAAAGCGAAAACCTCTTTAGCCTTTTATCATACAATTGTAATTAGAAATCATGAAGCAGTTTTCATCATTTTAATTTTACGAACCGAATGTGAACTAAAAATAACTTGAAAAAGATTTTCTACGGTTGTACTGAAATAATCACACCATCAGTAGAAATTTTATAATTCTTTCTAATTTTCATTCCTATCTTCATTTCAAATGTAAATCGACTAAATAGTTCGGTGTCACATACTATTTCGACGATAGCTCGTCACTCAGTGAAATAGAAGATCATTCTATTATATTAAATAAATTACTGATTTTGTTCTTTTTATATACTTCAATATAAAACTATAATACCATGACGAGGCGAAGAATTGCTGATTTGAATGAGATGGTTAACGGTGATGATATAGATGGTGACCATCATGTTGATATTGCATTTCTTCCAACAGAGCATGAGAGCTCAGATGAAGGTTCAAGTAATAAAGAAGAATATACTTAACTTTGGCCGCTTCCTACAGGATCGTATGAACATATAAAGAGTTCTTATACTAGTGACCAGAAGTTACTAGAACCGAATCATAAGTATGATTGGCGTGATAATGCTTTGAATTATGACGATCTTTCAGATGATGACTATCTTTCATCTATTTCATCATTTTACTCAAAAAGTTCTTTGGAATTGTTTGAACTCCTTTTTTCTCAATCAATGAAAAACTTTATTATAGAAGCTACTTCCGAAAACCACTTTGAATTGACCAATGATGATTTAGACCGATTCATCGTGGTCATTATGATTACTATAGTCAATTCTAGGAAAAAGCAGTCTGACTATTGGTCCAACAAACGACTTTTGCAGTGTCCAATAATAAAAGAACTTATGCCAAGGGAAAAATTTGTAAAAATAAAAAAAAACATTAGGTTTTATAAACTTCAAGACAAAGATGAAAAAGATAAAGTCTGAAAAGTCAGATATTTATTTGAATTATTCAGGGAAAATTGTATGAGATATGGATTTTTTGATTATAATTTGTCAATTGACGAAGTTATGGTCAAATATTTTGGAAGATTCAGCATCAAGCAATGCATTAAGAACAAACCTATAAGATTTGGGATAAAGCTATGGGCACTATGTTCTTCAGATGGATATATATATGATTTAGATATATATACGGACAAGTTTGGTACTGAATCTGAAAATCCTATAGCTTCTGTTTGTTTGGGATCGAGAGTGGTTATCAAATTACTTCAAAGGTTCCTGGAGACAGTTAAAAATAAAAATCTGGCAAAATATCATTTGTTTTTTGATAACTTCTTTACATCTCCAGATCTCATGATTCACTTAAGAAATATTGGGTTATCGGCTACAGGAACGGTTCGTCAAAATCGCGTCAAAGCAAAAATCGATATGTCAAAGAAAGCTGATAGAGGAACCACTATCTCAGTTCATGAAGCCAATTCAAAACTGAATTACATAACGGTGATGGACTCAAAACCCGTATCAGTTCTCTCAACTAAATACGGAGATGAACCGAAAGTTGAAATGAAATGATGGCATAATAAAACTAAACAAAAAATTCTCTTTCCTCAAGCGTCCTCAATGTATAATAGGCACATGGGTGGAGTAGACTTACACGACCAGCATTGTAATGCACTTATGCCTACAATCCGAAGCAAAAAATGGATGTGGTGTCTCTTCGTGAGACTTATTCAAGCTTCATTAGCTAATGCTACTGTTATTTACAATAAACTCCATCCAGATGAGAAGAAAGGTTCAAAAGATATTGTGGAGGAAGTTTGTGAATATTATATTCAAAAACTCGAAAATACTCATCGACCCAAACGACAGAAAAAAGTTGAAACTCCGACAGAGGAACATCAGATAAAAGTTAGGAAACGTAGAAAGTGTGACAACGAAAATTGTTCAGTATTGACTGAATATTGTTGTTCAAAATGTGATATTTATTTTTGCAAAACTCACAGAGAAAATCATTCGTAATTGTTTTTAAGGATCTGTTTTGAAGAAAGTAGTTCTTTTATCCATAATGATTAACAAAAACAGTTGGGTCGAAAAAAATAATGTTAGAGTGGTTTTTGTCAGCATCACTTCTCAGTTTCAAATTGTTTATAACGAATATACACCAACAAAATCGAGTCTGACAAGAAAATCTTACAGAGATTTTCGCCTTGGTTTTTCCTGTAGAATCGATTGCCGTAAATAGTTTTT